ACATTATTACATTAATAGTAATGGTGCAAATGAAACTCCAATGTGGTCAGAACGCTGTAACAGAGTAAGAGCTAAAAACACAAAGATACACTACTGAGAAAATAATGAGCAAAAAAGCCTGAGAAGTTTAAAAAGTCCAAAATCTTCATACCTGCCACATAGATAATCAGCTAAAATCAATTTAGGGTGACATGATTCCTAACTAGACTAGGTTTTCCCCCAATACTGTTGCTACTAATCCAGAATTTTTCTTCTAGTTTTTTTCTTCTTTGTCAACTCTGGCAGCATTAACATTCAAATGAACAGTTAAATGTGACTACAGTACACCTAAACCTTGAAGGCCTAATCCAAAAAGGAAGTTCTACCACATCAAGGACGGGTGCACCGAGTGGACTGGAACTGTCATCACTCTCATTTAACATGGGCCCTTGTAAAAATAACCCATTTTAACATGAAAATGGTATTATTTGAGCTCTTGATACAAAAACTAAGAACTCTGATAAATACTAGAAAGAAAAAGGTCCTTCCCTTCAAGAAATGTAACATGTGGTTGGAATGACTTGACAAATAATAAACAGTTACGTAGTTTGTGATATTCAGTTTGTGATATTCACTGTATGCAACAGAATTGCAGAGAAGAAATATCCTGAGTCAGGATGGCCAAGAAAGGCTTCATGGAAGAAATGAGACTGAAACGAGGCTATGAAAAGGACAAAGGGAAGGAATAGCATGCGCAAAAGCAGAGAAGTAGCAAAAGCAGAGAAGTAATGAGTATGGCAAAACTGCAGTATTTGAGAGGCAGGCAAGAATCCCAGTTGGGGAAGAGTGGGAAATTAAGCTGAACAGGTAGAATGAAGCCTTAAAAGCCGGACAGGGGCATATGAACTCAATCCAATTGGCAAAGGGAATCCATTATGAGTTCTCCAGCAAGAAAACTGACACGATGAAACCAGTATTTTAAATAAATTACACTGTCAGTAGTTACAGAAGATGGAGAAGAAAGGTTGTTCAGGGCAACCAAGGAAAACTTAATGCAATAATCCAGACCTGAAACCACTCATTCATCACTTTGAAGATAGTAGTACGCTAGGTAAGAACACTGGCCTAGGAGTCAGACAAACACGGCCTAAATCCCTGCTCTTGTCTCTTACTTACTCTTGCCTCCATTTCCTCACTGCTAAATCAGGATATCAGCCACTTGTCACAAGTACCAAAGTACCTGTATAGTCCCAACACAGAGAACTTTGACTGTTAGTAATGACCACAACTGCTGAATTAAGAGTGGTAAAAAATAGTAAGTTAAATAAGACAAGGCTCACAGAGGAACAGAACTTTCAAAGAAAACTATCTTGACTGCAGCTGATAATATGGAAAAGAAAACAGGTGAAAGATCAAAGCTGGGGGAGGGGGGAACCTACCCAAAGTAATCACTCTAACCTAAATAGCAGATCCTAGGTTCTGTTGGATCCACTCTCAAAAGAGTTCTCTTTTTTATTTAAAAAGAGTTGGAAGTATTTCGAATAGTGCAAGTAGATTTAAAAAGTCCAAGCCCAAGTGACAGAACAAAAAAGGCTTGCAAAAGATTCATCACCATACCTACACCAATCACCTAACTTGATATTGTTCCCATTTAGTGTTACAACTCTAATTCTTCATGTCTCATATAAGCCTTAAATCATAACTTTGAAAGTAAATAAATTAAGTTTTATTTCAAATGCTGCCCTGGAACTGAGGAAACAGAACTGCCAAATGCTTTCTATGACATTATGCCCCCACTAAAATAAATAACAAGCAAATACAATGTAATACAAAAAAACAAACTTTAAAAACCAAACCTAGCAGCAGCAGCTTACACTTACAGATGCTCAGTATGTCCACCACTGTTCTAATATACTTTACACATATTAACTCACTAAATCTCAACTCTTATGAAGCTGTCTGTCCCCAATACAAAGAAACTAAGACACAGCAAGAGTTACAACCCCTCATTACAGCTAGTAAGACATGGAGTCTGAGTTTGAATGCTTGCACAAACCACCGTACTACAACACAAAGACGTAAATGATTTTTCTTACACAAGATTTTAGGAATATATACTCCTAGGGTAGCTGGAGTACCACTTATTTGCTTTTCCTTCTTAACTGTAGGCACAGAACATTTCCCTGTTTCTGCTGGCAGTATTTGGAGAGGCTACTTCACTGCTGCCAATCATAGGTAGGAAATACAGCAGTTGACAAGATTGCATCTTATTAAATAGAGCTAGAGAGTTAAGTACAATGATATGAGTCTTATGAATTTCATTTATGCATGCAATCACTTGACCCAGTTAGCAGAGATGCCCAACTACACAATTATAAACTTGATCAGAAACATGTAAGTTTCTGCAAGGATATGTACAGACCAAGACTGACAAATCAGCTGGGAAAATGTGACACAGATACAGTCATCTAAGACAGATCTAGGTTTGAATCCTAGCACACAATCATTTTGTGGCCTTGGACAAGTAAAATAACTTCTTTGCACCTCCTCTGTTTCATCATCCACAAAAGGGCCCAACACTATCTACCTCATAGCATTTGCCTGAAGTATAAATGGCATACAAAGTACCTCACACCTCCTAGAACACAGCCCAAGCACAGTCCTTTTCTCTGGCTCTATGGTAACAGGGCAATTAGTTGTACTCTTAGAGTTCAATCCCAAAGGGTTAAGTAGCCAAATCTCTCCAACATCAGCTCTCTCACAGAGTTTTGTTTTTTTTTTTTTAACTTCAAGTTTCTGTTGGTGGCAGACTAGGAAATAACACCAAACTGAACAGTACTCTTACCAATTCTTTACTACACAGCCCTAAGGTCCTAGCCCTTCTCTACTTCCAGAATGTTTGAGTACAAAGTATAAATGTCTCGTGTTAGCTGCTTTTCTTTTTTTGCATATCAGCAACTTTTACTATGTTATTTGTGAAATGAGTCAAATTCACATGTACAAGAAAAATACAAGTCCCAGACAGTGCCAGTGTTTCTGCCATCTCAACTTCCTACCATTCATATTCTTTTCTATTCTTTTTTATACAAATAACACCAAAATTGATCAAAGCCAACAAGTTATTTCAACCAACTTCATCAAAATGTGTGAAATCAGAAATCGTTTGCAGTAATACTACTATAAGTTGTAGAAGGGGTATTCTTTTGTCAACTACTCATCTGACAAGGTTATATTTACACTGCATTGCTATATATGAACTGACGGATTTAATCAACAAGTTGATGTTCAGAAAGTCCATTTATTACATCTCCTTTTACCAGTAACTTTTATGTTTATATATGCTTCTGCCCTTTCAGCATGGTAGCTTGAAAGGCTCCCAGTACACAGAAAACAGTTACTTCTTGTTCTCTTGGTAGACTGGTATGGTAATCATGCAAAAACTTTAATTAGGTGTTGAGGACACAGTATGAAAAAGATTCCTGAAAATATGCAAAAAGTTATTAAAATGGTTAATATTTCTTTGAAGCAACAAATGCAAAAAACAACCTCCACAAGGAGCCATTCCATTTACCACCAGTGTCTCCCACGTGAATAACTAAAGCCGGTACATATTAGAAGAAAAATGTCTTATAAACTGATAGTGAGCTTGGCAACAATTTTTAAGCCACTAACATGTCACTTAATTAAGTTCCTTAAAAGTAACAAAAACTTTTTCCATTCACATATTGTTTTCATCCCCCATACAGTTTAGTATTTTGTCCTGAAGGTCTGATTCTAACTATTCAAATGGCAAAAAACAGTACTTATGAATTTAATGGTTGTGATTACATACATCACACAGTGCAGGATAGCAGAACTGAAAACAAAATATCATATTCCAAACAAGCAAGAAAACCTCAATTTAAGGGGAAAAAGTATAAACACAACACATGCCTAAAGGCTCTCAGGCATATTTTCTTCCCGCAGCCCCTCCCCCATAGGTAAATACAAACTATTTCTAGAACTCTCAATGATAATTTGGGAAGATTGCCATCAACTCCCGTGATACAATCCAACATACAAGATGTTTTCATCTTGTATGCTGCCCTACTTCCCTAGACTATAAACTTATTAAAATGGTGAGAACACACAGTCTAAGGAAGTCAGGATTACTAAAATACACAAATGTAGCATGGGTCTTATTTAACAAAAATAAAAATGAATCACACTGGGAAACCCAAAAAGTCATTCCCTATACCTTCAGTACATAATCAGAGTATTTATTACAAGTTGTTTTAGATAAGTGGATGAAAACACCACAAGGACTTTATATTATCCAAAATAGTGAATGAGTCTTTAGGAAAAAAAGGGGAGGAAGATGATTACTTAATTATATTGAGGGGGAGGGGAGAGGACAAACCATTCAGTCTAACAATCCAGACTAAAAATAAACCGTCATTTCACCCACCATATTTTATTAACAAGCTTGTTTACATCAGCATAAAGTTCTTGTTTGGAAAACAAGAAAGTCAATAGTAAACTTCCCTAAGTCAACTGTAAATCACATAGGTACTAAAACTCTTCACCCCTGGTGCCTGCACAGTCCAAGATTTTAAGTAAACTCCAGACACGAAAAAAAAACCTAATTTTTAACTAGGTTCCAACACTTTTCATTTGTAATCACCAAATTATTTGAGACAATGTTAGATAATCTAACAAAGAGAGCATTTTTCAAAAGCCACCACAACTCAAATTATACATGAAATACACCATTTTCACAACCTAAATTTAATCCCGGTTGCCACTGCAAAGTGACGCCTGTTTCAGCAAATTAGGAACTTCCAAAAATACTGAACACATTAACACACGCATGGCTTCCCTTGAGCTGCCATTTAAGATTAATATTTCACTTAAATAAAAGGCTGTTTCTCTTCAAAAAAAATTAAATTGGTTGCAAAGAGGAAGTTACCGCGAAACCACTCTCACAACGTGGCCTTTACACTGTCAGAAAATAATGTGACTCTGTGCCACCCAAAACTTACCAGAAGCTGGCTATAACTTTGCCAATTCTACACTCTCAACCCAACTTCAAAGAGACTCTACCGAATACCTCCTTAAGACGATAGAAAGCACCAAGTTACAAACAAACACGTCCCGGAGAGAGGCCCGGCGGCCGCGCGCCCCTCCCCCCGCCGGCGCCCCCGCCCCGGACGCGCTGCCCCAACAGCCGCCCGCAGCCCCAGCACGCCGGCCGGGGTCGCAGCGCCGGGCCGGGGACGCGCCCGGGGAGGGGAGATTTCCATTGCTGCCTGACGTTCAACAAAATAGCATGCACCGAAAAGCTCCTTCTCCTCTGCTAAAAATAGGCTATAAAGGAGTCGGCCTTATGATGGCTCCTTGATTCAATTTGCTGCAAATTCTTTTCTGAAAGCCTCCCCCCCGCCACATACACGCACAAAAAGGGGGTATAAATGCACGAAGGATGGAAGACGGGGGAGAAGGCCAAGGTGCACCTTTTCGGGGACAACATAATTAGGGTGAGGATCCCCCGAGACCAGGAAAGGGTAGGGGGTGGGCAGGCACGTGTGCATTTCAAAGAAGCCTGAGAGAGGAAAAAGGGGGGATGGGGCACCCCAAGTGCCCTCGCTCCCTTCCCCTCCCCCACCCAAATCCCAGCTCCCCGAAAGGCCAAGTTAAAAATGCATGTTCCACTTACGCCCATCCCCCCGCGGCCCGGTGCCCCCCGGCAGCCTCCGGCCTGCGCCCCCCGCCTGGGCCCGCGGCCGCCCCCACTCCGGGGTCCGGCCCCCAGCGCTTACCTGGAAACGGTGGCCTCCAACGCCGCTCCCCCCTCCCGGGAATGGAGGCACAAGGAAATTCCCCTCCTCGCCGCCGCCGCCACCGCCTCCAACCACCCCCAAAATAACCCCTCCGGGGGGTGAGAGGCAATTATAACCCCAGCGAGCGGAGGGCGCGGGGGATGGGCGCCGGACGGGCGGGGGCGGGGAGCGCGGCGCGGGTCCCCAGGTGGCGAGCGGAGGTGCTCCCGCCGCGGGGGGAGGGGCGGGGGCGCACGCGGCCGGCGGCGGGGGGAGGCGGCGCGCGGGGGAAGGGCGCGAGCGGGGAGAGGAATTGAGGCAGAAGGTAAAAGCTGTTACTAAGGGAAAGAGCCAAACGGTTCGGAGCAGCCAACGGCTCAGACACTCAACACTGGGGAGAGAGGAATGGGGACCAGCCAGGCACAAATGAGCTCGGGAGGCCCGCGGCGGCGGCCGCGCAGCAAAACAAACCCGAGCGGCCTGCGCCGGGCGGGCAAGCAGGCGGGCGCGGGGGAGGGGCCGGCGGGGGAGGGGCGCCGCGGACGCGAGGAGGCGGCGGCGGCGCGGCGGGGGGGCCTCCGCCGGCCGCGCTCCTCTCCCTCTCGGCCCGCTGCGGCGGCGCTGGGGGTTGGGCGCGTGAGGCGCATTCTTTTAAAAATACAGCGAGCCCCGCGGGCTCTCGGAGGCGCCTCCTGAGCACAGGCCGCGCCGCCCCGCCCCCACCGCCGCGGGCTGCCGGGTGCGGGGCGGCGTGGGTGTGGGCCCCGCGGCCCGGTGGGGGCGGGGAGGCTCGCGCCGAGGCCGGCGTGGAAACGCCGGCTAACTTTCCGGGGTAGGCCGCGGGCTCCGGGTGTCCGGGGATGGCCCAGCCCCGCGGGCACCGGGCTGCGAGGCGCGGCCTCCTGGGCGCACACGCGGTGGGCATGTGCAGGGAGCGCGGCGCCGGCATCATATGGGCATTTGTTTGTGAAGAGCTCTGTACACACCTTTGTGTGCGTAAATACATACGTTTCTCGGAAGCGTACCTGGAAAGGTGCTTTATCTGTAATAAACGATGTTCAAAATGTAATCCGAAGCACAGGATCTGTAGACAAAACACGCACACAAGAAAAGGTTTTTGATACTAAACACAAAGCTGCAATTGAAATGTTTATGCCCAAATGTACTGTGAATCAAACATATGGTGGTATTTATCATCTGGTGGGTCTGTTTGAAAGGTTTGGTCGATCAGTTCTTATTTCACAAAAATAAAATAATGTAACTAAATGTTTACTAAATATGTACCTCCACGGCAGCATCGACAGTTGAAGTTTATCCACTTTGTGTACTTTTTGCATGTGTGTAGCAAATCAAGGCAATTTATAAAGTAGAACTTAGATGAGTGATAATGTGACAATTTGATTGAGGGAAGGAATGCACCGGTTTTTTTTATTATTATTATTAAAGGGCGATGTCTCAGTTTTTAAAGCAAATGTGGTGTTGATCTTTCTAAGGCTTTCAGAAAGCAGGGGTGGCGATGCTTCTTAGACCTTTGTATAAGCTTAAGACATAAAAAGCAGCCATCCTTTCCTGCCCCACTAAGTTCTTCAGGAAAGGCCTCTGGCTGCTCCCCCAAGCCATCAGAGGAAAGGGAGTGGGATTGGAAACTCCCTTCTAACCACCAAAAAGCGAGTTCAAAGCATATCGGTGGTGTGTCCTTAGACTATTTTCATATACGAAAGTGGGAAAGTTAGATTAAACAATGTCACCCGATGGGAATTTAGATAACTGCAGGTTTCCAAAACACTGTGTAGAGTGTACAGGAAACAGCACAAAGAAAATAAGTTTTGCATTTCAGTTGGATTCTAAAACTAGCACCTTTGCAAAGATTTTATTTCAGAAGTGATGAGAGTACAGTATTTTTTTAAGAGTTGATTAATGATATACGTGTTACTAAACATAATCCTCTTGAATAAGTAAACTAAGTACAGTTAGGGGCATTATCTGAGCCACCCAATGAAACATATCTAATGGCCTAGGTTGTTTTTGAATTTTCACATTGTGTTACCCCAATGAGTCGTCTTCAGACAGCAGCTACTTCAAAATCAAACCAATCTTAAGCAAATAAGGACTTCTTAACCACACTGATTCTTGAAGGGTCATCTCCAAACCTGGGGTCCCAGACTTATCCTTCCCCAAATCACCCCTATTGCTCACTCCACAAGGGAGGACCCATCCTCCTTCAGGTTCATAGGGCCAGGGTTTCCAGCCTGAAGGTCTTATACCCTATACCAAGCTGCCTCCTGAAGTTGTTCAGTGTTAGTTGAGCCTCATCACAATGATAATAATAATCCATGCATTTGGTTAGATTCTTGTAGTTTACAAGCTATTACTGTACATAAATTACTTCATTTGAATATCATGATAAAAATCACCAGCTGGGGACCTGTACCATAAACTAGTTCCACTAAAGTGTGAAGTGTATTCTTCCTGCCATTATTGAAGTACTTTTAGAACAACAGGAACAAAAAAAAGCATCTAAAAGTGGAAAAGCCTTAAAGCCTTAAGTCCCCCAACAAAAGGGGTTTTGAATAAGACCGTATTTTGATCACTTTGGTTTCTATATTCTGGAACCTACCTGAAACAACAGTGTGGCTTAAACTTTAAATACTAGGAAAAACAAGCTGCCATAAGAAGGTGGCATATATTGTCATCTCACCCTCTTGCCATCCCGACATATCCAGCATACACGATCAAGCAATGATTAGGCTGACTAGGTAAAATAAGGACAAAGAAGGAACTGTTGTTACTAATTTTCAGTACTTTGTCCTAATCTAAAAACTGTCATTGTGCTTTGAATATAAATATTAATGTTTTGAGAAGGAAGAAATTACTGTTACTAAAAATTTATAAAGCAAACGAACACATTATAAAGAAAGTTCTCTTGAACTTTTTAGCAAATTATTCAACAAACAGAAATCTCATACCAGTAGCTGTTATCAGAAGTTACATATATAATGTAAAATGACTAAACAAATCCTGACTTGTTTTATTTCAGTAATATTACACCCAGGACGTGTGGTATGGCAGGATAGGCTACACCTTTGCAACTTTCACCATTCAAAACAGAACGTTTTAAAGTTAAACTGGTTTAATCCCAGGCCTAAAGGGTCAAATTACTATATATACATGTAAAAATCACCATGAAGTTTTAAATTGTTTACATAGCTGATCTACATAATTAAAGTATTCAAAACAAACTTACTTGTATGAAAAATATATTTTATACCAAAAATATTATCCTGGTACTATAACTCATTTTATATTCTTTACTCACCCTGGAACTCCGTGGCTTTATGTCTGTAGTGTTTACCCCCAGGCGTCTTGCTGTTACCCTGTGATACGTTTCTGTTTCATTTTGACTTAACTTGTGCAATTCTTTGTCTGTAGTTCTTCCGAGATGATGCAGCCACACATCTTAAGATCTCAGCACCAAGAGTCCTTTTCTCCTGTGCTTAGCAAGCCACTTGTGACCTTCCCTCATCAGCGTGAACTCTGTCACAATTTTCCATGCTTCTGTGACCCCATTTCATTATGGTAATGAACTTTACTTGGGAGTCTTCATTTAAATTATAAAAGAAATACACAACTGTCTTAAAAGTATTTACGCCTCTCAGATAATGGAAATAGCAGGCTGTATCCTGCGTTTGTGACTCAGTCAGAACCGAAAACCAACCACACACACACAGCATATTGCTGTACCAGTCACTTACTTACCACTGACCAGCACTCAAGGCCTTATATTAATATTATGTTGATGGTTCTGCTATTCATTCATTCAACTAACATTTATTAAATGCTTAGTGTTCTAGGCACTGTTCAGGAAGCTGTTTACATTGAATCAAACACAGCCCCTGCTCTTCATGGAATTTACATTCCACTTCCATGCCTGGTGGGGGTTGGGAACACAGACAGACTTTCACAAAATTATGTCTGTATTAGGCTATCGTTCGAGTGCTATAAGAAAGGCAATATAAAAATGGCTTAAGATAAAAGTTTATACTCTCATGTGGCTAGCATTCAAATGTAAGCATTCCAGAGTAAAGTGTCAAAGACCCAGATTGCTCTATCTTGACTCACATCTTCCATCAGGTGGTATAAGATGGCTTTTCCAGCTCCTGCCATCACATTCAAATTCCAGCCACTGGGAAAGAAGGAGAAATAGGTGGCTATGCCATTTCTTTCAAGATACATCCTGGTAGTTGAATTTATCACCTCCACTCATACTCCATTGGCCAGTTCTTAGTCATATAACCACACCTAGCTGCTAGTTAGGTCAGGTA